GGAAGTCCCATCCCAAACAGTACAAATCTGCCAGAAAATTATTAAAAAAAAGAAATTCCTTTTGAGCGAAAATGCCAAAATTCCAGGGTCGAAGAGCAAAACCCTAAAGCTGCCTAAATGAGTTATTTTACACGCTTCGTTGTTTTCTTTCTTTTTTTTCTTCTTCTAGTTTTTCCCTTTTTTCATTCATTGAAACACGTTGAAAGAGAAAAGGGCAGTGAGAGCAAAACTTTTAAGAATTTCGAAGAATAAGTGTCGACTAAGTTTCATATTGTGTCGAAATGTCACACTAAGCATTTTATGTAGCATTTTTTAGTTCGCCAAAAGAACATATTAACTTATTTTTAAAAGTGAAGTAGGCTAATTTAAAGCGAAAACTCTGTAATATATCAGATTTCATTGTTCTTTGACCATACGACTCACGCAACAACATTTAGTTTAAATCATAATTACAGCCATTTAAATCATATTACAAAAGTCCAATTTGAAGTCTCTTGAAAAGTAATAAAGATTTTTTTAAAAATACATTTGTTATTTGCTTGCAACTTTTAAAGTGTTGTACTTATCAGCTTAAAAGAGCAATTTGTAAAATTAAACAAGAAACCTTTTATCACTGCGATTCTTTTGTTTAGGTTTTGGAAGCACTACAGTACCTCCACTTTATGGGGATTTGCTATTTGGACTTGCAGCCTGACAACGTCGTCATGGTCAACTTAAGAGACTCCGATATAAAATTGGTCGATTTCGGTACTGCACGATATGTACCGAAGATCGGTGGTAAAGTTCATGTGGAAGGCACTCTGGAATACTTAGGTAAGCTTTCAAATCATAAGATGTTTAGACGTTTGTCTTTATTTTTTATTTGGCCTTAGTAAAAACAAACTTCCTCATTTGTAATTGTTTTTTATTTATGAAAAATTTCAATAGGGTGACAATATATATGCCCGTGAAATGCACCGAGAGTTCTGCCATGACCGTTTTTCATATGGATTTTTAGAATTCTTGTTAAAACATGAAATACTACATAATTCTTTACTATACTACATATCCATGAACTTTGAGTCCTTACTACACTAAATGACCCTTACATGAAACCTATATTGATGTTATCTTATGTATACTCATATGAAATTTTGCTACATGAATACTTGAAATTTTTAATGTGAAATACGTGTACCAAATCTTGCTACATGAATACTTAAAATTTTTAATGTGAAATACGTGTACCAAATCCTGCTACATGAATACTTGAAATTTTTAATGTGAGATACGTGTACCAAATTTTGCTACATGAATACTTTAAATTTTTGGAAGCTAGTAAAATATTATATCACCTGGACCTTATGAGTCCCGTCCTAAAATCCCAGGATTGTACAGCAGCTTTGTTCAGCGCGGGGATGGAGACTATCCACAATCGTTTTCCTCTTGAAGCATGGTTGCACATATACACTGATGGCTCAAAGCTTGAGATGGATGGCGTTGCCGGTGCTGGTATTTTTTGTGAGCATTTCTCCCACTATCTTTCGTTGGGAACAGCCAAGACCGCCTTTGATGGTGAGGTTGAGGCAATCAAAGTAGCTTTAACTCATTTAAATGCCCGTCCTTCTCTTTTCGATCAAGCTGTCATCTTTTCGGATTCCCAAAGAGCTAGGGGCTTGAGAGTAGTTGGCCATTGCCAACTACTCTCAAGCCCCTAGCTCTTTGTCCATTGTGAAATGTAGATCTTTAATGACAGAGATAGGTGAAAATCATAAAACGATTGCCTTACAATGGATCCCATCCCACTGTGGTAGGTATCCCCGGCAACGAAAAAGCTGATGCACTGGCCAAAAAAGGTTGCTTTGTTAATCAAGCCCCAAATAACTTGGTTAGCTATAAGTCCACTTCATTAATGATTAATCATGCAATTAAGACAACACATATATCATTGCTAAAAGANTTTTTTTAATATAATAACCAAGAAAGTTTTTTTTGAACTATGTTTATGAACGGAAATAATGTGTTAATTACGTAAAGTTTGAAGGCTAATAACCAGAAAAAGTCTAACTTATTTTTACAAAGAGAAAGATGCAAAGTTATCATATCTTTGCTTGCGATCTCCGAGATCTGTGGACACAGTGACGTCATGAGGAGGGAAATCGTAGCTTCAGCTCTAAGAGCGGAGTGAACTAGCCCTTCTATTCTGTTTAGCCCTGGCTGTAGCTGCCTTTCGTCTTGCTACCAAGCATGATTGCTTATACGACCATCTTTTCCGTCTTAAAATAGTTAATAATCCTGCCTGCCCCCTCTGCCGCAGTGGTGCGACAATGAATGCTGGACATCTTCTTAGCTGTTCAGTTCTCACAAAGAACTGCATCTACTCCCGATACTGTGAGGCCAGAGAACTTTTGTTAATTTAAGTTCTTGAATGAATTTTTGTGTTTGATGTTTTGCTTTGTTTTTGTATTTTGTATATTTCATCTCCTCCTGTATTTTTATTTTATTTTATTTCGATCTCTGTACGGCGTTAGGATAATGTCCGTATCGCCTGCTGCATTGAAAATAAAAAAATAAAAATATACTTTAAATTTTTAATGAGAAATACATGTACCCAATCTTGCTACATGAATACTTGAAATTTTTAATGTGAAATACATGTACCAAATCTTGCTACATGAATTTTTGAAATTTGTAATGTGAAATATGCCTCTGATAACTCAAAAATTAATATTTAAGTGAGAAAGCAAAAAAAAGAAAAAAAAAACGTTTTCATACCCAAATTGAGGTCATTAAGACCCCATTAATGCTTGATGCATATTGCGGATCAAATTACTGTAAAAAGTATCAGCACTTCTTCTTACGAAAATTTTAAATAGCATATAGGGGGTAATTAAAATTTCGGATTTGTTCATAAAACTTATAAAATGGTAGCTAAGAATTTTGATTTTCAATTTTCGGTTTAAAATATTTTTAAAAATAAAAATACATGCAACACTTTTTCGAACCACAAAGAAAATAAATTTATTCAACTCGACTTTTTCGGGGACTTATTTTAGAAAAATAAAAATTTATGAACATTTTTTTCCTCTTTGAGTGCTTTGATTAGGCGGGTAACTCCTCATTGAATATTGAGCAATATGCTGCTGCGGTACAGCATCATACTAAATATATACAACTATTTATTACTAATGAATTAATTAATTTGTTATACAATAGCAGAAATATTTTAAAATTGTTTGTATTAACTTGTACGAATTACTTCCTTGCATGAATATTTGTTAAATGATATTTTAAGTTGTTTTGCATCGATATACTTAAGTTGTTTTGCATCGAAAATTATTTATAAACGATAGCATTAAAACTCAATTATAATTATTTATTTTTTTAATTTTAAATATTTTCTTTATTTCTGAAAATATTAGGTCGTTCGTTATATATATATATAAAAAAAAACTTTTACTGATTTAATATAAATATTTAATGTTTTTACATTTTTTTAAACCAATTTTTATCTTCTTGCAGCTCCAGAAGTCTTAAAACATGAGGATGTAACATATCAAACAGATGTATGGTCTGTTGGAGTTTTAACTTACATACTGTAAGTACTTTTGTAAAGAAATATGTATTTGTTACACAGTAAGAAAACGTCAGGTTAAAAAAAATTAGCTTTATATAAAAGTGTCCATATCTCCATGAATATTTTAACTAGATTTACGAAAGTTGGAGTACTTACTGCTTATATTAACCAAAGTAATCGATACAAGTTATAAACTTATTTTAATATGTTTTGGCACAAGGTGTTCAAATACAGTCTTTTTTTTCGCAATTTATTACCGATCCCTGAAACCTCTAACAACTTTATTCATACGCATGAGAATTGTAAGCTATTGTAGTTGTTACTCATTGCCTATCTCCTTTCGTATGGTAGAAAAATTTAAGCTTTAAGCGTGATAATGCGTGATTTTTTATGTATTTAACTACATACACTACAAAGTTGATTTAATTACTAATTTAACTAATTTCATGTGTGGCACTATTATCAATTTCATATTTGATAATGTCAAATTATTTCCCTGAACTTGCTTGTTGAATGCAAAATACGTAACATTTCCTGTATATTTAAAGCTTAAATTCTGCATTATCAAAGTGAATTTTTTTTTTATATAAACACTAAGCATTACCTGCATTAGGTTTCCTGTTCAAAACCTATGTCTTGCAATAAATGCCTTTGAGCAAGTATAATTATTGGTATTGCTTTGTCTTTCTATTTTCTTAATTTTTCTCGTTTTCTTTATTCATTAAAATTTTCATTATTTTTATCTCAAATAAATTTCACCACTAAGAATCTAATAATGCCATCAATGTGATACGAACCCACTAGTTATATTTTAGGATAGCAATCATTACCAACTGTGCCAAAAGCGCAATATGTATTCTCCAAACCATCCACGTGGAAATCGGACAACCATGTTCTTAAGTAATAAATTAATTGCATACTAGCATTTATATATTAATTGGAATCTGTTTAAAATTCTAACATTAATAGCGCTTTTGTAACTACTGATATGCTATCTGTCTTCTGAACTATTCGGACGCCACATCAAATGGAATGTTTTTTAAATCATTAACTCTAAAACTTAGTAAGGGAACTAATTATTTAATTTAACTGTGTTATATCTAAAAATGAGCCATTTACGTCGCCATTATTATTTTTGGTGCAGCATCTTTTGCACTGTGTATTTTAGATAGATATATCTTGATTTTTTTTTTTCCAGCTTAAGTGGTGTTTCTCCATTCCGAGGAAGAGACGATGAAGATACGAGATCGAATGTCACATTCGTTCGATACCACTTCGAACATTTGCACTCCGACGTTACAGCCGAAGTAACGCGTTTCTTATTGAACATTTTTAAACAAAGTCCCATCAAAAGACTGACCATCGATGAGTGTCTGGAGCACAAATGGCTCGCACCAAGTGAGTACATGATCATGAAGAGGGAGAGTGCCAGGTTCCTTCCAGACAACCTTATAGCCTTCGCCAAACAGTTCCACGCCACCAAGTACGAAGCAATGAATCCTGAAATGCTTACTTCACTCGGAATGTCTTCTAATAAGTAAGTCCCAATCCTTTTGTTTTCTTATTCTATTTAAAGAACTTTGGTATGGTCTACTATCAGCTTACTTAAAAAATACCATTTAATGCAGTGGTTCTTAGTCTGTGATGAGATAATGTACCTCCATCTTTGAAATATTTTAATGCAGAGATTCCTATTTAGGGAAGAGATTCTGATCTCCATTTTATTTTGAAAAGTTCTTTAATGCTGTGGTTTCTAACCAGTGAAGATATTCTGATCATCTTACTTTAAAATGTCATTTAATGCCGTGATTCTTAACTGGTGAAGGGATTCTGATCATTATATTATGTTCTTTAATGCAGTTGTTTCTGACCAATGAAGTGAATTTAATCATCGTCATACTTTACAATAAGTCATTTAATGCAGTGATTCTTAACTGGTGAAGGGATTCTGATCATTATATTATGTCCTTTAATGCAGTTGTTTCTGACCAGTTAAGTGAATTTAATCATTATCATACTTCACAATAAGTCATTTAATGCAGTGGTTCTTAACTAGCAAAAGGATTCTAAACACCATCGTATTNTAACGTCACGTTGTAATCCAACTGCAGTTGAGTTGGACGGCAATTGTAGCTCAAGATGAGCGTTCGATGACGTATGGTATCAAACTCACAAATGGACCAATCAGAGGTCAGCGCTGATTTCCAGCTGATGGCGTCCTGTCCTAAGAAACCAGGCCTTAAGTGAATTTAATCATTATCATACTTTACAATTAGTCATTTAATGCAGTGGTTCTTAACTAGCAAAAGGATTCTAAACACCATCGTATTTGGAAATGTTTTAATACAGTGGTTTTTAATTAGTGAAAGGATCTTAATCCCCATCTTATTTTAAAATGCTCCTCAATGCAGTTATTCTCAACCAGTCATCCTCCTATGAAGAGTCATTTAATGCAGTGGTTCTTAACTAAAGATAGGATTCTGCTCGGCATTTCACTTTCCTAAATTTATAGTCTTTGATTCATTGATTCGATCGATTTTATTGCATGTAAAACATTCTTACAATTTTTTTATTTTTACACGAGTCTATAACAGTTACAATAATTTTCTGTTGAAAAAAAAAGGGAACACAGACTGCGTGAAAAATTTTCGAGGATAATTTAAAGCAGTTATAAATTAATCAGCCATGCAAAACTGATGAACCAATTAAATAATAATAATGATAATAAAAAAATGAAATAAACATCTGAAGTGTGTCAGTATGCCCGCCAAAAATGTTTTGAGCTGATTTGAATTTCATCACTTTCCTTTACTAAATAGAAAACGCTGACTACTTTTCCCCGTTATTTTGACAGCTTTATACTTAATAAAGTTTCGAGTGATTTAGTAGCTGATAAAAATTTCCTCACCCCCGAAAAATGTCATTGAATTTTAGGTTTGCTTAATTTGTGCTACTAGAAAAATAAAAATTAGTAATTATATAGATAAATTAATTAGTAATTTTCTGAATAAATTACTAATGTTGATTTTATGAACCACTAAAATAAAGTATAATATGTTCTTAGTTATAAACATGTTGAGTCTTATTTTATTTCTGCAGTCTCAAATTCAATTTATGTACAATTATATACTTTTAAGGAATTAAAAAATTAGAAAACTTAGACTATGACAAAACTTTTTTGTCTTTCTTATTTGTTATGAATGTTATATTTGATTTTTATATTTTCAGAAATGATATGAAAATTGATGACTTAAATTAACATTTGCAAAAAAAGATCGCAGAATGGAAGGTGAATGTTGACAAAATATTTTTGAACAAACTGTATGAAATGTACCTATGTACAATCTATGTATTTGCATTAAGAAATTAATTATTTATAGTGATGTGCAGATTGTCAATAAATTTCATTTTATACAAAACTAGATTATATGTGTCAATGCATTATTCTACTCACAATTAACTCTTTGACGCAGATGAAACATATATATATTTTGCTGACGCTCTAATTACAAGCAAAAATATATTTTGGTATTTTTTAATTATTAAAACCGTTTATTTGTTACTCAAAACATCTGTTAGATTATTGTAATATGTACTAAAATATAAAATCCAAGAAAATTAGTTCGAAAAAAACCCTTAAATCCCATTCAAAAATTTATTCAAAAATTATTCAAAAATTTAACAATAATTGATTTTGTAAATTGACGAAATCCAAGGATGAATAACTATGTTTTCTCGATCTCAAATAATTGCATTTAAGTACAAATTTGAAAAATTATTGCTTGTGAGTGATCTGTGTCTGAAAGATTGTGCTTTTCACTTAGAAAAAAGACATCGGCGTTTCATGCTCTATTTCATAACTATAAATTATTAACATGCTAAATATGATATTTTCCACTTATTTTAACCTGAAGTGATACAAAATAATGAATAAATATAAAACATATGTTCAATATAAATTTTGCGACAAAGAGTTAATTAACATTCTAACAAATTTAGTGATCCTGAGAATATTTTTTAGCTTCTGAAGTAGCCTGAATACCTTCGGAAACGTAGCTTAAGCCACTTAACTGGTCTATCCGTACACCATACGTACTATTCATGGGAAATTAACGCTAGTTCACAATACTTAGTATTTCGAATTATCCATGTTCGAACTGAAAAAAAAATCGTCTGTAGTAACGTCTGTAGAACGTCTGTAGTAAATACACTATCACTGGAAAAATATATTCTAAAGCTGCAGAAAATCCGTCACTACATCATTTAACGTGATAGCAGCAGTAAAATAACCAAAAGTAATTAAGCGTCTTCTCCCTCAATATTAGTATGGCGATTTTCCTACAGTTCCCCTAACAAATGCGTACATTTTCTCTAATGACTTTGCTTTTCTTCACAGAACTTATTTTTTTTTTATTTCAATTAATATATATTACCATTATTAATTAAGCATTGGTGTCAACAGTAATACGGCGACTTTCTTACGACTTTCAAGAAATAAAAGTAGATACGAATTTAAAAAAAAAAAGAATATTACTTGCAAAATTCTAGTAACTAAAACTAGAAGTTATATACTCTATAATTTTAAGATACAATCTTTGCATTGTGTTTAAGAGTTAAAAGCAGACATATTTCGTGTATTTAAAGGATTAAACATTGGCATCTAAGGAAAGGATGAATTAGTATTAAATTAAATAATCTCGTTCTTTCATTCCATAGCTTCAATGAAGTTAATATAAAAATTTAAACCACAAAAATGCAATACTTTTTATCATAACATATAATTCAATTTAATTTTCAAACTCATTTCAAAAAGATGATATAACAATTGTTTTTATTACAAATTGTAATATTATGTACACTATTTAATCACTGTTCAGTTACTTCTTATATGTTATAGCATTAAATGTTTAAAGAAAATAAGCTTAAAACTGGCTAATTAAACAATGTTTATCTTACATTTAGCAATTTATAATTAGATAAATATTTATTAAAACCATTGGAAATACAATTAGTCATAACACGACACATCAATGTGCCTGAACTACAAAGCCATAGCTGTAAAGTTTCCAAATCAACAATTTGAAATGTGCTAAAAACTGATTACCATTTAATACATTTATTCATAGCACTTTACATTTAAATAAATAAAGATAGATACTTTTGAAAATGATCAATTGTTTGTTTTGGAATTCAATGATTTGAAATGTAATAAAAAATTCAATAAATAAAATTACAATAATATAATTAACATTTAATAATTAAAATTATATTTATTAATTTTAATTATTAATTTATATATTAATATAACATTAACTTATATAACAAATTATATAAGTTAATATTATATTGCACATTTGAACATGAACTGAAGAATTAAAGGCCGGATTTGTGTAAAGAAATGCAGTAAATTCGTGTTTCGGAAAAATATTAAAAGTAATTTTTGTTAAAAATAAAATAGTACCCGTTACAGGTTAAGAAAGTGAAGAAGTTAGAATAATATCATGCCCTCAAAAATCTTCCAAAGTTTCATCAGTTCTAACGCCATTGCATGAAAAACTGTCTGAACGGATGGAATTGTTAGAATCTATGTTTAGTTGTTCAGTTAGAAATAGTGAAAAGCTCTCTCATACTTAAGTAAATGTCATTTTTTATAATAACTGAATCTTCAACTTTAACATTCGATACAATTAAATAATTGACTCATTATTTGTAAGCTTAACATTGTGCAGAGGGCATAGTAAGATTAATGTACTCCTAATTCAGATAAAATAAAGGTCTGGCGTTGTTTCGGGGACCTTATTAAGTCTCTGCACCACAGTGGTAAGAACTTCTACCTTCTGCTCATCCTCAATCACTGACCATTCTGTCAAAGGCATTATTTCCGATATGTGATTGACAATGTAATCCAGTGCAGCAGTTTTCAACTGCTGGTGCTTGTTCATATCCGCAAATTTAAAAATTTCACTGACATTANTTATGATACTGCTTATTAAATGAAGTTCCCTGAAACAAGAATTTAATGAAGTAGAAAATGCTCAACGTATTTGTATAAACTTTATCAGCAAATTACGTAAGTACAAAATTATTAATTTAAATCAATTAAATAATTAAGAAATAAGTGAACATTCATTATTCAATATTACAATAATTTTAAGGTGGTACATTCCAGAAAAATCTGAACATTTGAATGACTTTCAGAGGAGTAGAAATTTTATCGAAAAAATTTTAGGAAATTTAACAATTATCAATTAATAAATTAAATTTTTAGAAATTTATGCATATATATATATATATATATATATATAAGTGGATGATTCTCACGAAATACAATTTGCAGATTTTTGCTCCTAGATCTACTGAAAGAACTTTTTTCAACAAGTTTTTTTAATAAATAGCATTTAATATTATTTTTTAATATTAGCATTTTTAAATGACTTTGCGCTAGCATTGACTGTTTTGCATATTTAAAGAAATTAATTGAATCTCAAAATGTCATTTTCCTGGTATGCCACAATATAACAATATTTGCTATAATAACTAGCTTCAAAACTGTTCATAAATTTTTCTATATCTATTTTTTTATCTCAACTGCTTTAATTATTTCTAGAATATATACAGGGGGAATTATTTCAGAAAACTTTGTTGAAAAAAAAAAATTCCGTCAATAATTTGTTTGTCACATAAAAATTGTCATTTTCCTGGCCGCTTTCTTTTAGTTAGTAATTAATTACTAAAAAAGATCGCGCAAGCAATCAATAACTTAGTTAAGAGATTGATTAGAATACCATTAGATCAGAGCACGTTTTATTGCAGGAATAGATAACCAAATATCTGAGTATTTCAGGAAATTTTAATAAGTGAGTAGGTTGTTATCTTATGAATTAAAAAAGTTGTGTGAAAAATATATTTTCCGAGAAAATCATATTTTCCATAAAAAATTTAGATCGCGAAATACCGATTTCTTTTGTGCCTCTCTTCTCAAAACACAAATGTTCAAGAAATAAGAACACTTTCAACTTTTTCCAAGTTAAATCTCATATAGCCTGGATTAAGTAGGCTCTGAGTGGGTTTAGATCTTCTGTTCCCAAATGGTGTTCCGCGGGACTCTGGGTTTCCCTTGAACGATAAAATGGGTTCCGAGAGTTTTAAGTTTTTAAACCAATGATGATTTTAAAACCTGTCATTATATAATTATATCCAAACAACAAACCATCATTTACTTGATATTTCGGTTATTTAAGAAAAATAACAATAAAAAAGAATTCAAATATTTTTTTAAAAAATAATATTTCTTACAAAAACACTATATTGGTCACATTATAAGGGATCCACATTTATAAAAAAAATTCCACATTTATAAAAAAAAGAAACTGCATTATCATTTCTCATTGAGCCGTTCAATATAAAAAGATCAAATCATAGAATAATGAGTTAAGATTACCCTTTTCAACGTTTATAAGTTCTTTTTCGAAAACTATAATTCAGTATACTTGATTGGCTTTCAGCTTATGCATACACCAAAAACAAATTTAGAACTGGTCCACTCTACGTCTGTGAATTCAACTGTTAAATATAATAAAACTTATAATTTTAAGTCCAATACTGCGATAAAACGATAATTGAATAAATTTCATCCTTCATATTAAATATTATCAAAATACTAATCATGTTCAATTCCGCTGCCTTGTATTTTTGAACCCAATCCAGAAGACAAGGGAACCCGTGGTTAAGGTATTCGGACAAATTTGCCTTTACGGAGAACGTTTTGATGGAACTAACCACTAAACCATGAAAACCTCCACTGTTAGCCTGACTAGAAAAAGACTGTAACCCATGATCCGTCCACCACTGAGAACATTTTAAGTCAACACTGTGGTCTTTTGCGAGCCTGGATCGGAATTCGTATCCGCCAGCCATCGCTGGGATTTGAACCCGGTTCGCCCCATTGGAAGGCGAACATTCAATTATTATTGGTACTGACTATTGGTGATGATTTTGAGGTGGTTAGTCGGGAAAATAGATCCTTGGCTGCGCCAATGCATTTTTGTGAAACTTAATTTCTATCACCAATTTCCTTCCTTACCTTTTTCAAATTTTAGGCATTTTTGGAAACTGACGTTTTAAAAATTAAATTTAGAACTGATCATTGTTTATGATTAACATATATTCTTGTGTTCTTAAACACGCTTTAATAGTCAGCATCAAAATTGATTTACAAGTTAGACTTGTAGGGATCTCATAAATCATCAATAAACTAAAAAATACGTCAATAGGTAACAGACCAGACAATTTTACAAAATTATAATTTATTTATTTTTTACCACCACGTGTAAATTTTTTCTGGTTTATCATGGAAGACTCAAATATTGAATATAAAAATGTATATTATTTGTATCCCAAGTATATTCGTTGCATCCTATGT